GGAGAAGCATCTTTGTGCAATACAAACCGCTAGGACCACCACCAACAATACACACAGAAAAAATCCTCCGCTGCTGCTTCTGCTGCTGCAGTTGCTGCTGCTGCTGCTGCTCTTCCTCTAGCGATCCATGCTGCTGCTGCTGCTGCTGCTGCTGTTTATATTCCTCCTGATGCAGGGGATATGATGTGTGCAGCCCTCTTATAGATGCTGCAGGGCCCCACACTGCGCTGCAGCAAGAGGAGGAGATCCATCTTTTCTCGATCCCTTGAAGAGTTGCTGGTGTTGCTGCTGCCGATGCTGCTGCTGCTGCTGCTGCTGCGTTTCTTGTTGCTGTTGTTGTTGCTGCTGCTGCTAGTCTGCTTGATTTCAGTTGCTGAAAAAGCAACGGAGCAGCAGGTAGGCGAGGGGCCCCACATGCAAGCAGCAGCAGCGGGGTTTTCTGTGCTGCAGGTCTTAAGACCCGCCTAAGAGGTGTACATACACCTGACATGAGGGGGAGAGAAGCATAATAATCTTACGGGTAGGGAGAAGGAGCAGCAGGTTGCTGCTGCCGACGGCCGCCAGCAGCAGCACGGCACCAATTGTGCTGCTGCAGCTGATGGAAGTAAATATCTTCAATATAATTCATCTGTATTAAATATCATTAAATAAAGGAAATAAAAAGAAAGAAAATAAACAGCAGCAGCAGCAGCAGCAACTAGGAGAGTTGCTGGTCTTGAGGTGACTGACGTGTCAATCAACAGAAGATCCAAGAGGAATACGACTCTTATATCATTGTAAATAACATATATTAATTATTTTTCTCCTTTATACACCTAAATATATTATAAATTAATTAAAAAATGCATGCATTGCATGCACAACAAAGAGAATCTTAAGAGCATCGAACCTCATCACCATCACGATCTTCTTCGCTGTTGTACAACAGCCCCGTAAAAGGAGAGAAAAGTCGGCAGCGGCAACGGAGAAAAAAAGAAAAAAATAACAAAAATAAATAAAAATAAATAATATTTATTCAATTAAAGAAAGTAAACGTTTAAATATGAATATTTACATGAAGGATCAATGCACACAATAGCTGGTTGATCCTTCTTTTTGTACTTCTGCAAATGACCAAATCTGCACAAATAAAATGAATTCCCTCTTTCTTTAATTGTTCTTAATTAAATTAATTAAATAACTGAATAAAAGGCTAAAAACTACTTCTTTAGACCACGATTTATAGGAGGATCAGCTTTATTTCTTCATGAATTCCTCTTTTTTTCCTTATTCAAGTTCTAGTTGGGGTGTATGCGCAGCTCCATGGAAAGCTGAACAAGAGTTGGAGTGTATGCTCACATTTAATAAAGGAATAAATCACCATAAATACCTAAAGAAGAGCTTATTAAAGTAAATAAAATAAAAAACATAATAAAAAACGAATTATTTCCCCATTTATCTCCTATTCTCTACCCTACAGCAGCATTTAATCGATGCTTTCCTTCTTTTTTTCTCTTTCTCCCTTTATTTCCTTAAGAATGCTCAATAAGAATTCCATTTGCAAGACAATACAACCTACTTACCTACTCGTGTATCTATCTGTATCTATAAAGTATCTTTAGCAACAAAATATTATATTTATAATTATAATTATATAATTATAATTATAATTATAATTATGCCAAGCACTAAACAATTATACGTACACTTAACAATGCAGTAGTAAGCAACTCGCTGTAGGCAATGGTAAGGAATAATATTTTATTAATCTTTTCCTGCCCCTTTTTATTATTTAATTATTACTACTATACCCTATCTATATATACTATACTATATAACTATTTGCATGCATGCATGCATGCATGCATGCATGCAAGAATATACAATTAATAAATATTTGTATATCTGATTAAACAATTGAAAAGACGTAGTTATTGTTAGGGAAATGGAGAAAAGAAGAAAAGAATAAAAAGGGGAATAAAAGGACAAAAAGAAGAAAAGAAGAATAAAAAGAATAAAAAGAAGGAAAAGAAGAAATGGAGTGTCTGTGCAGCTTTCTCTTAATAAAAAGAGAAGAGCTCTGCATTGGGGTGTATATGCATGTATAATATATATCTAATTGTTTTTTTTTTATAAATAAATAAATAAATATAATTAATTATAATTAATTATAATTAATTAAATTAATTATATTTATTATATCTATATTCGTCACAATATATACAAACTGCATATATATATAAATAAATATAAATAAATATATATAAATATATATAAATATATATAAATATAAATATAAATAAATATAAATATATAAATATAAATATAAAAAGGAAAAGAATAAATAAACTGCATTTATTTTCCCTCTTATACAGAAGAACAAGAGACAGTTCTTTTTCTTTCCCTCTTTTATTTATTTATTTATTTATTTATTTATTTATTTATTTATTTATTTAATCTATTTACTACATCACGCTAACAAACGTAAGACAATAAGGACAAGAAAAAGAAGAAAAAAGAATAAAAAAGAAGAAAAAAGAAGAAAAAAGAAGAAAAAGGAATAAAGAAAGGAAGAAAGGAGACAAGAGACAGCAGACAATTATTTATAACTGTCTATCTATCCATCTATATATATATATATATATA